ATTAAAAAGGTTGAGAACCACTGCTCTACATCTCCTGCCCTTCCTTATTGTTTGAATCGTAAAATGGCAATTGGTTTAGGAGAATAAAAACCTTGGTTGTCTTAATAGCTTACATTTGGAAGGGGCTGTGGTGGTCTGCAACTCTGAATTTTGGGGGTTGGATTGAGGAGAGAAGCATGATGTTGCAACTTTCCAGAGGTTGGTGCAGGTGGTGGAGGATTTTTGTTCTATCTCCTGACCTGGGACTACAGGGATTTTATCTGATTCTTTATGCTTTTCAGTATCTAAATAAATCAGTAGGATAAATTAACTTTAGTATTCAAACATCCTGTAATCCTACTCATTTTCATCTATGAATCACGGGAACCTCTGGAGACCCTGAATAATTGTTTTGAGATTATCTAGCTGAAAGTTAACCTGATACATTGGAATAGGCAAATATATTTGCCTGCCTAATACACTTTCACATTTCTATCTCTTTCATCTGCATGAATATAACAGGAAGCTCTATATGGCCCCAGTTCAATAGTGCAACTAAATATGCTGCAATCAGAGTTCATTTCACATCCTCAGAGTTACATCAGAAATCTCAGATCTTTTGCAAAGGAGTACATTTCTTCTACATTGGCAGTGATCTAGTTTGAGAGAAGCAATACTGGGATAAAAAGTAGCTATGTTTTTCTGATATTTCTCTCAATGTCAGTACAGAATTTTGTGTTGTCAGTATATTTTCCAGATGCAAACAGCTTCTCATTAAACCAGGGATGTCCAACTTTGGCAGCTTTAAGACTTGTGGACTTCAACTCCCAGAATTCCCCAGCCAGCAGGATTCTGGGAGTTCAGATCCACAAGTCTTAAAATTGCTAATGTTAGACACCCTTATATTAATCTTATTATAGAAATGAATGTGGCTGTATACTGCATCCTGGATTTTCTTAAGAACATGTGTGAGCCAACCCACTTACTTAAAAGTTTAATTTTCATTTCTTTTTTATACTGCAATTCATTTGTGGACAATTTTGGCAACAAATACTGGATCAAAATGTGAGATTATAACAAATAATAACACTGTATCACTCTCAGACCCATTTTACTAACCAAAAGATATGAAGCCGTAGAAAGAGTGATACATTTGAAAAGTGAAGTAGTTGGTCATAAGTATAAATTAGTTATTAACAAGAAAAAAAATCAGTATTAAAATAAGCCTTCTGAGTGTCCTGGACTGTTTAGTTGGTGAGATGCAAGGCAGAGAAAAGTGGTTTGTAATAATATGAGCATAATCATTCTTTCAACATTCTGTTATTATTGCCAATCTGAATAAAGAATAGCTTTAGCCTTCTTTTGGTCTACCTAGAACAGTGGTTCTCAACCTTTCTAATGCCGCGACCCCATAATACAGTTCCCCATGTTGTGGTGACCCCCAACCACTTATACATCACCGGGTGCCAAGGGCGTGGCCAAAGGGGGAAAAAATGGCGGACAGCCTTGTTTGGTGACCCCTGTGAAATGGTCGTTTGACCCCAAATGGGGTCCCGACCCACAGGTTGAGAACCACTGACCTAGAAGGACTGACAGTCTGATTATGATGAAGCTTCTTCTACTATTATCTCTTTGTGTCAGCTGCCACCTCATGCTTGTGCTTCACCTTTGCTCTGTGCCAGTCTGCCATGAATTCTAGGGAGGGAGACTGGATGGAAGGGGGGGGGGCTCAGGGGAAATGTAAAGTTCACTGTATCTCCCTGAGACACGGCTTCAAGGTCAACCAGCTGGGAACGGAATGCAGGTGCATACCAACCTATACTTGAAGTACCATCAAGCTGATGTCAACTCTTAGTGAGCACCCAGACAGATTTTTTCCAGAATGATCTGACCTCAACCTGTGCCTTCAGATCTTCTAGTAGTGCACTCATCATCACTGTAATTGAGTCTATCCATCTTGATCCTGGCCATTTTTTTCTTCTCTTTCTATCTCTCCCAGCTTCATAAGAGAGCTAGGTCTTCACATAATGTGTCCAACATATGATGATTTGAGCTTGGTCATTTGTATCTTGAATGAGAACTCCAGACTGATTTATTCTTTGTTCTATTTGTTTGGCTTCCTCAGTAACCTTTCTAACAGCAAAATTAAAATGCATCAATATACTATGAATCCTGCTTTTTAAAAGTCCAACTTTCACTACCATAGAGTGTGACAGGGAAAATCATTGTCTGGATGATTCCAATTTTTGTAAGAAAGGTTACATCTTAGGCACCTAAATAACTTTCCAAAAATCTTCATTATCTTATTAAGTACTATTCTGCAATGTATTTACTTACTGCTAGCCCATTTATTGTTGATAGTCAATCCTAAAAAAATAGAAACTATCCACTATTTCAGTATCATCATTTTGAATTTCAAAACTGGTTCCTATACTAGTTGTTGTCATATGTCTGCTCTTCTTTTCATTATTTCAGTAATAATTAAAACTAACTTATCCCTGTTTTAAGCAATCTCCAATCTACTTCTCCAACAAAAGATTCTAATGGTTTAATCATCTCTTAAAGGGATATACATAACTTCTACATTTGCAGAAGATTAAAAAACAAGAATGATTGTGTGTGTGTGTGTGTGTGTGTGTATTATGTGTGTGTGTATAGACACATATATATACATATATATGTATTCAAAAGATAAAAACGAGCACCAGGAGGTAAAACAATTAAATGTTTAATAAATAGATAACCTAGCTTTCGATGGCTGTATTGCTGCCATCATCGTCAGGGTGTTAAAAGCCAGAGGGTGGGGGAGCTAGTTTATAAGCACAAACGCGGCTGCACACGGCTCATAGACCTCGTTATGGGGCCCGGTCGATTGATCCTCTCATCACTCATGTCAGAAGTATTTCTGAGTTCTAAGTTCTTGCAGCTGATTACTTCTCTGTTGCGTGCGGCTCCTAGGCTGGGAGGCGAGCATTCCATGTCACTACGCACTAGAGTAACCTGTGTAACTGCAGACCGATCCTGCGACGAAATCCCGGATCCGGCTATCTCCCTCCCCCGTGTCTGACATATCACTCTCAGGGGGCATGCCACCCCATGCGTGCTCCCATCTTCCCCTATAGCCCCCAACCCGCCGCCCTTCCGTGCGTGGGATACACAGCAGTTCGTTGCAATCTCCGTTCCTGTCAGTTTGGCGTCCGATTCAACTCTCCCCTCGGAGGAAATTCCAACTGCGGTCTTCGCGCGTGCACCTCACGCTTCCACCGTGCTACTTGGGAACGCGTGATGGGACCCTTAATGGGGCGGTTGCAGTCATCATCCACTCCAGGGGTTCCGATCTTCAAACAGGCATCCAAACCAGGTACAATAAGTGAATCCTCCGGAACACAAGCACCAAAATCGCCACGAGGAGAGCTGTCTTGTTTCACCTCAAGAGTGGGGGGGGAGAAGTGTTCTATACCGTTCAGTAGGTCGGACGCAATATCGAGGAGGGGGAGGGGGAAGGGGAGAAGTGTTCGGGGCATCCAGAGCACCAGGGGGTGGGTTGCTGTTGTCAACGAATTCTTCGTTCATCAATGGGTGCGCGCAGGAATTGCTAATAGCCGGGGGCACTCCAGATGGTAGGATCGTCCTTACCTCGTTGTCTATCTCTTTGTTGGAACAATTGAGATTGCAAACAGTGGGGTGCTTCCTTCATCTGGAACAAATGTGTGCCTCCCAAGTTTTCATGACCTGGTGTGCAGGATGTAACTCCACACATCGATTAATAGACTTACAGTCCGAGAACCAAGCCTCTTTGAGGAGTCTGCCGCTCTTGGAGGCATCACTAGCAATAACCTGCACCCCACTGAAATCAAACTTGTGTCCAAGCTCTACCATGTGAGTGAAGATCTGCGAATAGTGCTCCCCTCTTTTTATTGCCAGCTTGTGTTCCTGTATTCTTGTCCTTACTCTTTTAGAGGTTTCTCCCATGTAATTACCTGGGCAATCCATACAGTGGATTCTATAGATCACCCCAGATTTCTCAGTAACGGGGAGTGGATCTTTCAACCTCATGATACAGGAACGCAATGTGCAGTCTGGTCTATGTGCCACCCTTATTCCATAGGGTGACAATAGCCTAGCCGTGGCTTCAGAAACGTTACTGACATAGGGGAGAGTAATACGTGTAGTCTGTGGAAGTAGCTCCCCAATAGGTGGGTTATGGGGAGGTCTGGATAGAGCACTGTGGCGCCTGATAAATTTATTGGGGTATCCATTATGTCTACAGGTGTGGAACAGGTATTTCCTTTCTTCAGCCTTAGCTTTGGCTGTGCTGCAGTGTGAGTCAGCTCTTTTAAACAGGGTTCTAATACAGCTGACCTTGTGGGCCACCAGATGGTTGCTGTTAAAATGCAAGATCCTATCGGTGTGCGTGGGCTTGCGGTAGACCCTAGTAGCAAGGGTCCCATCAGGCTGGCGATGGACCAAAACGTCAAGGAACGCCAGCCTGCCTTGATGTTCCTCCTCCTCCGTAAACTGCAAGTCCACACACACCGAATTAAGTATGCCCACAAAGTCAGCCTTCCGACTCTTTTTGATGACAACAAAGGTGTCATCAACGTAGCGGGCCCAGAATTTGGGACAATACTGAGCCATCGCTACTTGTTCTATCCACTGCAATACAGCCTCGGCAATAACGCTGGAAATGGGTGGCCCCATGGGGGTACCCTTTATTTGCTCATAGGTGTTACCCTGAAACGTGAAGTAGGTCTTGAGGCATAAGCCCAAAAGGTCCACAAGATCTTCCGGGCGAAGGGAATCCTGGTGTATATATGTATACGTACATATATGTATATATGGTATATTAGAAACATCCATTACCATTATCAATTGCTTATACGTGTCATGTATAGGAAAGACCAAATTCTTATATATGTCCAAACTACATTATATTAAAGCATGTTGTATTTATGTATAAGAAAAGAGTGTTTGTAGAGAAGAAAGTTTTATGATGTATACATTGAAGCCCAATTTCTCAATTTACAAAATAAGTCTTTAATTTGGCAAACATTTGCAGGAGTTGATTAAAACAATAGAGAGACTTTTTTTTTGAAACAAATATGTAGAATCCTGCTCAGGATAATTCACTGCAAGTGCCACAATAAAATGATGGCCTCAGCAACAATTCATTTATATTTGATACATTAAATGGAAGGTTAACTTCATTTTAAGAAAACACTTGTATATATTTCATAGAAGTAAAATATTTATAAGTACATATTGGAAATATATGGAATGTTTGAACTAAATTATTGCAATATATAAATAAAAACTTTAAAAACTTTTGTCTGATGAATTCTCTGTAAAAACCACACCAAAATGATGCATCATAATTTTGATTTTAATATGAAAAATACAAGGATTTTAGAGGATTCTGGAATTACAGACATTATTTCTGAATTCTGTCAGAAGGCAGCTAGAAAAAATTGTTGACAAATATTCTAAGTTTAAATGTACTTATTAGCATCAGATAATACACAGAGTAGTTAGTACTAACTCCACCAATAACTCCATTATTGATGTTTTCTTGTTCGTGATGTGTGATCCTTAGTTACTGGCTGAGCCAACATGCTATGTGAATCATTTTGTTTCCTGGCAAGTCCACCACAGGTACCATAATTAAAGCTGGTACTTTTAGGCCCATTTGTTCTTCAAGGTGTGTTTGTAGTCCTATAATATAAAAGAGATGCAATGACACATTCATTCAAGCTTTCAATATTTCGTGTACGAACACATCATATTTATTTATATTATATTGTGTAATATATTTGTATAATATTATATTTGTATACTATTATACACAACAGAATTTGAAGTTGTTAAGACTGCAGCTGTATGCATGAATACAACCCATCCAATCAAGTGAGATCTGGTTCTTATTAAATAGGCATAAGACCAGAAAGCGGATAAGTTAACTCACGTAAAGAATAGTGTCATGATAGATGTTTATGAAGATAAGTTTAGTAGTTCACGATCTAGGAGGGTGAGTAGTCCTAGATATTTAAGCTGTTCCTAGATATTTTCAATTATGGGATTATTTGCTCCCTGTGAATATAAATGGTTGGGGAATGGTGTTTCTCAGCCTCAACAACTGTAAAACGTGTGGATGTCAGCTTCCAGAATTTCTCAATTGGTTGAAGTCCACACATCTTAAACTTGCTGAGGTTGAAATACCTGTCCTCTGTTCTTGCTTCTGCCCTGGGACAGGCAGAATGCAAAGAAAGAAAATAATAATTAAAACTTCATTTTTCCACAGCTGTTACAGATTGCCAGCGGTAGACATGGATGTTTGTAATGTCATATATGATTTGTTCTCTTCAGGACTTGATTATGAATTTGATTTCTTTGGAAATGCCCTCATCAGTGCTTAGAGAATGGGATATATTTTTTTCAACAATTTCAATGCAATAAAATAAACTGCAGGTAGAACTCAATTCATTTGTGTCATTAATGCAAAAATAAATACATAAATAAAAATAAAGCATACTATGTCCATCAAATAATTGTTGACTCTAGCGACCACATAGATTTTCTCCATAATGATCTGTCCCTAACCTAGTCTTCCAAGTGCATCCATCATCATGTAACATTCATTCTCCTTGCTGCAGGTCATTTATCTTCTTCATCTCTTTTATTTCCAAACCTCTTCTATAATTGCAACCAGGCTTGCAAGATTCTGTTATTATAACCTATCTCAACAAATATACTTCTTGTCTTCCTGAATGCATTATTTAGTAATTTATTTATATTTATTGGCTGTCCAACTCCAGTGGACACTGGATCGTGAGTTGATTTCCTGATCTGATTATGCTTTCCTTCTCTTCTTAAACCCTGGTGCAACAGGGTTGTCTGTGTTGCTTATGAATACTATCTTGCTTCTCAGGACTTAAATAATGTTTCAGCCCCTATTGCCTAGGTAATGGTTCTTGCGTATTTCCCTGAGTGTATTTAATAGGTCCCAAAAGTGACACTGTCCTTATACAGATACTCCTTTGCCAATTCCTCTTCAGTGGGATCTGAGTCACGTTGGACTATTCTTCACTATAGCAGCCTGAGACTCCCTAATTATTATTATTTTTTATTAGTCATTATACATCTTACTCTCCAATTCTTTTCTTCAACACTACAGTGTCTTGCACACACTGTAGATCAGTGGCTGTAGTGCTGAACAGTGATTTCATGGTTAGCTTTTGGGGGGGCAGGGGAACAAAAACATTATTTTGTTGTTTTTTATTAGCTTAATGTTAATTCATATGAAGGAGGAACAAAAGCTTCTCTTAGATAATATGTACTACACACACACACACACACACACACACACACACACACACACACACACACCATTTCCTGTTTTTTCCACAATGCTTTTAAGACAGTCTATTTTGAAAAAAAATGCTACTGGATTCAGGAGGCAAAAGATTATTTTTTCCCATTATCTATAGGTTGTGAACAATTTGTGCAGCATTTTTACACTGATTTCAACTTTGTAAAGAATAGAGCAGTCACATCATCGTCCAATGTCTTCTCATGTGATGTCGCAATGCTAGAAAGCTGTTAACAGATGGAAATGGTTGATATCAGAGGTGAATATTGACAAAGGTAGACCCAAGATCAATAATCACCATAGAGGTCAAAAGGACTTCATGTTCCATGTTCAAAGCAACTACTCATTTTATGTATTCCATCAATATTCTCATTAACTAAGCAGTATTGGAACAATGAGGTAACTGGAAATGTATCTGTGCTTACAACTCTTATATATTTGTTAAATAATTATGAGGTAGAAAGGCCACCTTTAGCAAAAATTGTCCTTATTTCAGTGAAATCCCTTGTACTTTCATTATCTATTTTCATTGGATCTTGGCCATAACTGTCACTGGATGGGAGCTATTCACTAAAGTGTATTGCAGACATCAATTTTTCTAAAAGACTGCTATTTTGCCCCTCAAATTATTTAACAAGAGTCCTTAAACATATAATAAAGCAAATAACAAAATCACTGCATAAAAAAGATAACACATCTTACTTTCAACAGTTATCAAGCAGAATGAAACATTCAAAGTGAATTTTTGTGGTAGGCAATGTAGCATTTACATTTTAAACTTTGAAACTGTCTATTAAATCATAAAAGTACCTACACTGATTGCTCCATACTTGAAAGGAAAATCAATGAACATATTTGACTTGATCAAATTGTTTAGCTGAAGTCTGCACAAATTATTATATAAAGCGTGTACGTACTTTAGGAATATGGCTTTTATTTTCTAGATGGAGCAGACACTAACAGCAGCAGCAAGATTATTATCTTCCAACTCTTCTCTTCCCTTCTCTTCTTCCATTCGTCTGTCTGTCTGTCTGTCTGTCTCTGTCTGTCTGTCTGTCTGTCTGTCTGTCTGTCTGTCTGTCTGTCTATCTATCTATCTATCTATCTATCTATCTATCTATCTATCTATCTAGTTAGTTGGATAAAAGCAGCAAACATATCTAATATTCCTGCTTATTTTCTCCACGACAACAACCTGAAGACTAGTTGCAATACTATCCTCTTAGCTGAGGAAGAAAATACTTGTTTCAGCAAGAGAACACAATTGTTGATAGAATATGTGTTTTTCCCCCCTGCATGGTATCACTATGTTCCTTTCTTTGATATATCCTCTGCATTTAAACCTAATATACTGTAATATCATTTAACACGTGTCTTTAAATCCCAGAGCTAATAAAGCTCCATTGCTGCATGTGCTTTAAAGACGTTTCACAGCGGATCAAGTTCCTAACAGTCAACTAAGAGTTCCAGTCCCCAAAGAGGCGCCCCTGGTGTGCTAAGCACTTAACCCTTCGACCAGTACCAACATGACTATTCACAAATTATCGATGTTTCTAAATCCCTGGCAGATTGCAGACAGGCCTTGTCTCTCTTGAAGCCCAAGCATATGGCCTCTAATGGGACAGATTAAAGGTGGGGGGAACCCACAACCAAGCACACATTCAGCCTTTGCCACATGAACGTAAAGCCACAGAAATAGGAGAGGGTGATTCAACTGGACTGAACGCTGCTAAATACATGATTAGCCCCTTGTTATGGATCATTTCCATTGATCTATATCTGGTTTTGCAGTACAGTTTAATTAAAGCTGTCTGGAACAAGCCTGTTCTCTAAATAATCAGCTATGCAGTGAAAATGTGAAACCTGAGGAAGGCTTGGGACCCTTTAAAGAAAAAGTAAAACAAAGTGCCTAATTGACTTAGTGTTTAATAACAATAGCAGAAAAGAGAGTGTATATTGGAATATTATCTATCCTTTTGCAGTCTAATAGGATCATGAAACCCTAACATCTCTATCTCAGCTCACTTGTCTGAAGTTTGTTTGGAAGTTGCATTATTTAACGAAGCAAAAAAAAAAAAAGATCTTCACATTAACTGTTTCAGAGTAAAGAAAAGTCTTAACTGTGCAATCTTATTAATAGCTGCTCAGAAACACGTAGATTTGTATTCAAACTTATTTTCAGATTTGAGGGAGTTTACAGCTCAAAAGCAGCTCATGTCTATGGCACAGGCCAAAATTCTGCTTATATTTATGGAAACATTTTTAATCTCACATCTTAACTTTATTTTTATTCCTTTCATTCACTGACTCTCCCCATATCCCAGCCTACTTTCAAGGAGTCCCTTAACTGTCAAGAGATTTCAAGAGGCTGCTAAGAGAAACGGGAATTTTATGTTCTATGCACATGAACCATTTCATTCACATCAGGGAAGTTGTGAGTGAGACGGATAGTCTCTAAATTGGATAAACAAACAAAGTTGGAATCTACATCTCACACTGCACTTATGACTACCCATTGAGTTGATGAAACTGACTTCATAGCTGCACCACCTGAACTGTAGTAAGAATTCTATCATATTGTATATTGCCTTCTTATTTCATTACTGTATTTTCAATTTACCTGAAGGGGCCTGGAGAGGATTTGTGTTCTAAAATTCCCATAGATGATGAACTGAAAATTGTTAATAATAAAATAGGCTGACTCTAAGTAAAATGTTTTAGAGGTTGTATTATATGAATATGGTCAAGAAGTCATAAAAATGGTACCCCATGGGAATGAAACTGGGCAACTTTGAACCATATGGCCATTGCATACAAAAAGACAGAATAAATGGAAAAAGAGAGTGTGATCACAGGAAACATCTGTATGTGTATGTAGCTTCTTCTCAGAGATTAATCAGGTAATGTGGTAAGTGCCTAAGTATTGCTGTGATGGTCAGGTCCCAGGCTGATAAAAAGGAGAGTTTTGTAAAAAGCACCTGTATGTCATCAGGGAAGAGTCCTCTGTCAGTTCACAAAAAGATAGAAAAAGAGAAAATGAGGATTCCATTGATGTATGCTATGGATATGTCGGCAGCATACTGGGAAAATAATTCAGTTCCTCAAATTGTTATACCTTTCTTGTTAATCTTGTATTGTAAGAGATTGTAAGTATTGTGGTTGGCAAAAGTTATTGTAAGTAACTTGAAGTAAACAGCTTGACAGCTGCCTCTATGTCATGGATGTCAAACTCACGAGGTCACCTGACATGTGACCTAGCGTGACCTTTTCCTCATTGCTGGCAATGGGGTGGGCACGGTTTTGGCGTGATGTATCCGACTCATGGACCGGCAGTTTGACACCCCTGCTCTATGTGGTGAAGAATGGGTGCATCTATGCTACAAAAGTGATTGTGGTTTTGCTCTCTTCCTGTGTTACAACTGTATGGGTGGGTGCACTGGGAGGTACAAGGTAAGTTATATGGTCTCCAGGAGGAGTGAGGGAATTAGAATGGAGAAGACCACAACACGGGGAGGAAGATCAACTGGGGATCCCTACTGTATTCTTCTCATGTGTGGATTCTATTACAAGCCTGGAGAAATACAAACTCTATGATTGCCTATATTTACTTTTAACCATTACCATTCCAATTTTAAATAAAATATATTGTTTGACCCAGAAATGAGGGGTTTTAGAAGAGACCGTGGAAAGCACAACAGAAGACTAATAGGAGACTCTGAAGGAATAAAGAATTAGGATAAGAGAAGATTATGATGGGAAAAGGATTAGATCTGATTGAGGCACCTCTTCTGCAATTATCAACCTGTTCTACAATTAAAATCTTCAGAAAGAGGCTTCTACTTTCTGGGCTTATCTTTCTCACCTGTCAGAAAGAGATTTATCCTGTGAGTTTTCTCAGACTACCGAACACTGTCCTTCAGGAGTTGCATCTCCCATAATTCTTTTCTTGCTTTTAGAAAATCAATATGGATACTTTAACTGTTGACTTTAATAAAAATTTACCATATGTATTAACCTTATGATATTCTGTATTTCAGTCATTATTGTTGTCTTGGATATCTATGAGAGTATCTGCATTATATGTGTTATGGTTATATTTTATTATTTTTGCTTTATCTTATTTGTTGGAAACTGCCAAGACTCTAGTTAGATTGCAATTGGTAGAAATATAATCAATCTATCTATCAATCATGAGACATAAGAGACATTCTCTCAATCTTCTCTTTGCATTTTATACATCAATCATTAAGTTTTTTTCTGGAAATAAAGACAGCAGCTTCCTACTTTTTGCTAGGAAAAGAAACTTCACATTGTTGCTTTTTCTGCAGAATGTGCATTCTGTTCACAGCTTTCCCTGTGCTGTCTTCTGTAAAAAAAAAAATTTGCAGATTTCTTGAAAATATTTTGGAATCTTGGTGGGTCACTCAATAAAGCTATTTTTATCACACAAATAAAAGCCTATGCATAACATGCACAAATTCCTTGCAATCAACCGGCAAGGTCTAGCCAATAAAAACAACATATATAGGCTAGCTGAATTAAGCCCAATTAAAACTCTGCCTATATGCTGGCTAACGTGAAAAAGGATACAGACAGAGCTGGCCAAAATTCAGCCAATTCTAATTACTCATGCAGCGAAGTCGAATGGTGCTAAGTTAAAGAAGAAAAATGTTTTTCATTTCTGTATTCAGTGTGAAGGACTATAAGATGATTCCCGCCCGACCCTGTTAGCATTGGCATCGTTTCAAAAACCAGAACCGTACTGCCAAAACCGTGGGGGCCAGGCCACTGAGAAATGATCTTTGACTGTTCCATTCTGAGAGCAACAAAGACATTCAATCATTTTATCACCTTATTATAAACATTACAAGCTTGACATCAAGGTGCTGTTGGCATCTGAGCTATAATGATGGTGAATAGAAATATCCTGAGGAGGGGGGGTATTGTTTTTCCTCTGGTTACCACTCACCTAATTCTAATTGAGAGATGCCCCCAGAGAAGGACCTGCGAAGCTGATCTTAACTGGCAGGCGAGTTTCTATGGGAGGTGAAGAGGAGGCAAAGGGCAGTTCAACAAGCAAAAAAGAAACCAATGCACAGGGCACAATACTTTCCGAGAGTTAAGTCATTTTATTCAGGAAGTAAAAATCTCTTGAATTTCTCTTAAAGCAAAGTATATAGTTAATTATTAATATATTTTTTTCAAGGCCTGGAAAAAAAAAAGGTAAAGGCACATATGTTATTTTTAGAGTTAGTTCAATTATGAGCCTGTCAGCATTGGCAGTATATCCCTTCATTAGACCACCAAGCTAACATGTTTTTTTCCTACAGAAAAGTGTGCTTAATGACCAGTTTAACAAAAGATATTTCACTGTGGGTGTTAATTAGAGCTTTGTGGACTCTATGGGACTTGTGCGCACTAAACCCTGTAATTCAAAGAAAAAGGAGTGGGAACATACCAGCCATTCTTTTAACAATGACTTGTTTCTGACTAAATCAGAAACAACTCAGGAAAAACTCCTTCTTTTTCTGGATATTCAAAAACCATATCATACCATTGAGGAACAGCAATCATCACCATTTCTCAATCACAGCAACTTTAAGATGTGTGAACTTCACCTCCTGCCTGCTGGCTGGGGAATTCTGGGAATGAAAGCTGCTGAGATTTTCAATTAACCAAAATTGGAGGAAGGAAGCAAAGTGCACACTGGGAAGAGGTGGGAGGTGTCTGTCTAATCCAATGTTTCTCAACCTTAGCAGCTTGAAAATATGTGGACTTCAACCCTGCTGGCTGGGAATTCTGGGAGTTGAAGTCCATACTTCTTCAAGCTGCCAAGGTGGTCTAATCCATTAATCACATCCAAGATGCTACTTTCTCATTGGGGTCTCATGCCAGCAGGCAGAGGCAGGCCTTCAAGGCCTTTCAGAAGCCAAATGATGGGTGGCAGATCTCACCTTGGGGATGGCAGAATGTTCCAGAGAGCAGGTGTCATGGGAGAAAAAGTTTTTCTGGACCTCACCAGCTGAAATTCCTTGACTGACAGGGTCCATAGTATGCCTCTTCTGTGGTACAGGTGGGGCAGGCTCATCCCATTGAAATGAGCTAGTTCCTCAGACACGCTGGACCCATGCCATGAAGGGCTTTAAAGGGGATAACGAACATTTTGAATTGGACCCGGATAATTTTTTTCAAATATTACATGATATTTGCTGGTATGCATACATTGTCAAAAATACCCCATTGGGTGGATTTATGCATGGAATTATGCAATACTGTAATGCTGAATTTTTTTCCTCCAATGAACTTTTTATAACCCAAACTATAATTGCGTATCTTGAGCCACACAGCTAGAGAAGCCACAAATTATTGCTGTGGCACTGAAGGCTGCTTTTCAAAAGCAACTGGATTTTCTTGTTTTTTTTCCCCTTGAAAACATTTTGCTGCTCATCCATGTTCTGAAGAAGCTTCTTGGATAAGAAACAAAACATTTTCAAGGAAAAAAACCCAAGAAAGTCCAGCTGCCTTTTGAAAAGCATCTTTGAGATAACCATGTTCTGGATGACTAAGAATCTCCATAGACATTGCTGTGACAGATGTCTAATTGTTGATAACTGTATACAGTCCCAACGCTGGCTAGCATTGAGATTGCCTAAGCACAATTTGCAAAATCTGAAACGTGAGAAGTAAAGCTTTTAGATGAGAGAGGGCAACTTTGCTAGAGTAATGTTTAGAAAGCTCCTTTTTTGCCCTCTTTATTTCACTATTTTTATTCCAAGGTAAGGTCATCAATCTGATACCCCTCCTAAGTCAATATTCACTTTCTTTCCTCCCCCTCCCAGAAGTAGCTGCCATGAGACATACTGAAGCAAATATGTCCTTTAACGGATACACGTGGACTCTGCTGTAACAGTGCCTATTAGGCAATATAATATCCCAGGATGGTTTTAAAACAAGTAATAAATTTAACATTTGCTAGGTTTCATTATACTCTTGGCCAAGTAGTTTCAAAGCTGAAAATTCCTAGCATACAGGTAGCTATATATAAGTAGCCCACAACAGAGATGTTGTTAATATATATATATATATATATATATTTGTACGTGTTTTTGTGTGATATGTATGTATGTATAACAGGCTCCAATTCTGCTTGCCTTTAGAAAATGATGGCAACTTGGATTTTTGGTTGTTTTAATTGTCTTGTTCATTTCACCATTTTATGTACTGGATTATTTTTAATTATATATAGCTACTTTCATGTTATTCGACCAATATTGTTAGCTGTTTAATTTAATACAGGGGAAAAAAAATCCTTATCTGATACATGGACATTATTATAGTGTACACATAGTCCTTGACTTACAACCACAACAGGAAACAGAATTTCCATTGCTGAGCAAGGTGGTCATTAAATGAGTTGTGCCTGACTCTAGGACCTTTGTTTTTGCCATGGTCGTTAAGTAAATCATTGCAGTTGTTAAATGAATCAGTTGGCTGCTAAGGAAATCTGGCTTCCACCGTTGACTTTGCTTGCTGGAAAGCATTTGGGAAAGTTGCAAACGGTGATCACATGAACCCAGGACACTGCAACCATCGTGAATACACGCCAGTTGCCAAGTGCCCAAATTATGATGACGTGACAGTGAGGATACTACAATGGCTGTAAGTGCAAGGACCACTTATAAGACACTTTTTGATATAACTTTGAGTGTTTGCAAAGTTAATAGTTGTCAGTTGGGGGCTACTAGTATGCCTAAAGTTTGTGCTTAAAGTTCACACATTTTAAAGTTGCCAGTATTGAAAAACACTGTCGTGTCCTATAACTCTGGAATTCTTTGGTGGCTTCTCTTATTTAGGTAGCTTAGCCTCAATCTAAAATTACCCAAATGCTCCTGCCTGCTGAGATACTTTTTTACAGTGTCAATACAAGTAGTCCTTGACTTATGACCAGAATTGAGCCCCATATTTCTGTTAAGTGAGACATTTGTTAAGTGAGTTTTGCCCCATTTTACGAACTTTCTTGACACAGTTGTTAAGTGAATCACTGCAGTTGATAAGTTGGTAACACGGTTGTTAAGTGAATCTGGCTTCCCCATTGAGTCTGCTCGTCAAAAGGTTGCAAAAGGTGACCTTGGGACACAGCCACCATCGTAAATATGAGTCAATTGCCAAGCATCTGAATTTTGATCACATGATCATGGGGATGCTACAAAGGTTGTAAGTGTGAAAAATGGTCATACGTCATTTTTTTCAGTGTCGTCATAATTTTGAATAGTTACTAAATGAACTGTTGTAAGTTGAGGACTACCAATACAATAAAATAGGAAACAAATGCATGAGAACTTTTAAAAATTTCCAATCATTTAATATTCTTTTCTCAAATATGTGAATATATAAAGAGTAAAGCACATATAGAAAAGCAATCCTTGCCCAACACATGGAAATTGTTATAGTGCATGTCTAAAGCCTGCACTGAAATCCCGGGTTCATAGTCAGTTCAATAATAAACTAACCAACTGGTCTTAAACAAGCTATTCTGTCTACTTTATTGTCTCAAGTGCATTACAGCATAATAATATTGGTCTATTTTCCAGAGTGGTTTGGATGATTACTGAGATAATATATGCAAAGTACTTTGAACATTCAAGATAATGTATGCAAAGTACTTGGAACACTCAAGAAAACACAATATAAACGCTCAGATTATTGTCTCATTCTTCTTATATGTGACCCATTTTCAGAAGAAAAACAGAATTTCTGGCTCCAAGCCATGGAGGGCAACTGCACATGACATTAGGTGTAGGGCTTTGGGTTTGTTTAAATACATAAAGAGTATCATTTGAGATGAGTGTTAGTTAAAAAGATTCCAAAATACATGGGGAACATTTTTTTTAACAATTTTTGCATTACAAAGAAAGTGTTCTCCAAAGTAAAAAAAATATTCTCTGAGACATAATATGACATTTAGCTAAAGCAAATATTAACTTCAGAAATATTTTTCTTAGGATATCAATAGGTTCCTTTTTATAGCTTCTGTAATCCCAGTCTACTAAATCTTCAAGCAAATGGAATTTTTAGAAAGTTACATATCAAGGCCCATTTGAAGACAGTACTACAATACACATCTGATCTCATACAAGTCTCCAGAATTACACTGTGAATGATAAAGAAGCATGGTGGGAATATGGAAAACTGATTAAATAGTGATGCAAATTGTTGGAAAAAAAGAAAATATTTTGCATGCAGGAAGAACAATGGACTGATTATACATTGGGAATATATTACATGCATCCTTTAAAAGATATTCCCATTTTAGAGAGTAATACACAACATATCAGAATGGATGTGAAATTATTTAGAAGATAACATTGTTATGGTCTCAGATATGCCCAATAATTATTGATAAACACTGAATTCACTTTAATAGCACCCCTGAAAGTGAGTGAAAATAACCATTATGCAGCTCATTTTGATTTATTTTGTTGAACACATTTTAAAATGGTTTTACTCTTTTTGTTAACTTTGTGGCTTTCCAAAAAGAGAAGAACCATTTCATAATGTGTTTTATTGCTCTCTAAGCCAAAAAGTAGAAGATAAATAAAACTATCATAGTAAATAAGATAAAGTGAATATCTGACTTGCCAAAAAAAAAGCTGTCATTAACCTAAGTGACAACTTGTCAACAATAGTATTAGAAGGCTATTAGCTTTTCACATTCCTCATTTCACATTCAGGTTTAGAGATTAAATTAAGTCTTCACCATGACTGTAAACTACATTCAGTGAGAAAAGCAGTAATCACCACACTGAGCACAGTAAGTATACGATTTGTTGATCCAGTGTTGACTTCCTTGAACATTTTAATCAAAATGGAAAAGGGCAAGAGATAGCTCTTGGGTTTGCTTGTGGAATACACAACCTATTCTTAGCTCACTGGTTTAATCCCACAACCGGTTTGGCAATTATGAGAAATTGTTATTACTATATCTGGTGACTTATGTAAAAAGAAAAAAAATGGAAGAAATTTCATTCCAGTCATCCATGAGAGATGGTACACATGACTATATGTACACAATTCCTAAACAATGTAGAAACAATCAAAACTAAATGCATGATAAACTACATCATCCAAATATGCTCAGCAAATGTTTATGGGTCAAACAGAAGACTGCCAGGTAGAAGAGACATCTTCTAATATGGCTACATCAACATCTGACAAAGATTGTGGAAGAAATCAGATGCTCCTTAATTAAACAAGCATATTTTTTTTGGGGGGGGGGCAGAATATACCTGGAATGACAAAAAAGCAGCACAAGCTAGCCAGGAACTATATGCCCTTCAAAGTGCCCAGGGAATTAATATTGATTTCTTAAGCCACATCTTTGTATGTTTCCAGGGGCTACATGAAGGTACAATGTGTGAAGAACATCAAATTTAAAATCTGTGGAATATAGGACTCCATTAGTGATGAACATCCAAATCAAAATCTCCTGGGAACACTTCTTTTAAATGTTTCTTTAGCAGAATAGGAGAGGAAGTGGCAGCCAAGCAAGCAATGAAGTAATACTTGTGAGACAGATTAGGGCAAATGATTAAATAAAGAAATGGAGGGACCTGCTTAATGTTGAGTCAGATTACTGACCCAGCTAACCATTACAACTGATATTGACTGAAACAGTTCTCCAGAGTTTTGCTAGGCATTTCTCTTGCTCTGTCTGGAGATGCCAGCGGTTGTCTCCCCTCTCAGCCCTCAGGTTATTTCTGCTCATATTTCATGGTTTGGCATCTGTGACACATCTCGCAGAAGAATCAATAACTATTTAGCTTTTTGTTCACCGTGGGAAACAGCAGTTCAGATTCCTGAAGCTTTCAACCACATTTCTGGCAAAGGCTAAAAGTGAATGTTGGCTCTAGTCAATACTGGATTTATGAAACAAAA